AATTGACAACTCAGTTGCTAATACTCGATAATATTCTTTGGCTCCCCTTGTGTCGAATCAATAAATTTGGGTTGAATACTCTACCCTCGAAAGTTGTTGCGATCCCCTATACTTGTGGGTTATCAGACATCTTTAGGCAAACTGTCAGCAGACCCTGTGAATAGGTTGTAGATGAGGTAGAGTAGATGAGCATCACAAAGTACAGAGGTTTTGCAAAACAATTGAGTCAAAAAGCTTAGTTTTAGTTCTCTACAGAAGTGATCTCGGAGCTACCGAATTGACAAACTCAGTGATACCGAAGCAACACTTGGAACCTAAACTAGTGAACTCGGTAGGGCCGAGTCATAGTTCGGTGGCACCGAGATTGCTAGGGTTTCACAGAATCTTGAACTCGGTCACACCAATTTGCACGTTTCAGTCAGACCAAAAAGCACATGTGCAATGGCCAAGGTCGAACCGGTGAGACCAATTTCTACAGTTCGGTCGGTCCGAGATGAGTTCTGTGGAGAGCTAACCCTAAATTTTTTGAATCAATCTAGACCTAAGGAAGTTTTAGTTAGATGGATCAATCTCAATCATGGCAAGAGACATGGCATTGTCCTTGTGCTAGGAATCAGAGTGAAAAAGACAACACAAGGGGTCGAACACTTACCCTAGAGCGGCGAGTGTTCGCTACGGCGGCAACGGTGGAGCAGATTGCCGTTGACGGCGGCGGAGAGAAGACGATCCGGAGACCCGAAGAGGCAGAGCAGGTTACGCGCGGGTGAAGGGTTTCGGAAAAATTTCCAAAATTTGACCCGTCAGTATATATAACCTGACCCTGTCGGTGTGACCGAGTGGAACAACTCGGTGGCCCCGAGATGCAAAACTGTAGGCAGTTACTGCAACTCGGTGTGACAGAAAGGTTCTAATTGGTTGCACCAAGATTGAAAACCTAGATCAACTAAGTGATCTCGGTAGGACCGAAAAGGATGAATCGGTCAGACCGAAATACACAAAGAGGTTTTGGAAGTTTAAGTCTATGATAAATCGGGGACTCCGAGTGCTCCTCACACAGAGTGGTTCAAATCTGACTTGATCAAACTTTGTGATGTAGCATGAATAGAGTTTGAGAGGAGGAAGGCATAGATAGCTAGAGGGAGTTCTTAGGCATTCTTGTCCATCCATTTGGCAAAAGTGAAATAGCCAAACAATCAAAGCAACAAATGGATGTCCTCGAATGAGAAAAATATGCATTCAACATTCTCACACAATTAAAATGGCAAATGAAATATGTGACAAAGCATGCACAAACACTCTAGCATCTATCAAGCTATTGGCGATAACTAGGTCATCTATATATGAGTATATTGACATAGGAGTCAAATGAGAACATTTGAGCATAGGTCATACTCATCGTTTAAGCACAAGTGGGGTTACCACTTTTACATAAAGCATTGTTGTGCTCACACCATTAGAGTTGCTTTAGCTCAATTCTTTGAGTAAAGCTCCCCCTAGATGTGATGTCCCCCCTAAGAGGGATGAACTAACCTTGGGTTTTGTCGATGATGACTTTGTGTAGGTGTTGAAGATGTGGATGCTCAAAGTTGATGTGGATCATTTGGAGCAATCCTTTGGAGTGAGTTGCACTTTCAATACCTACATTGGTTAGTCCCACAAAGAACAAGCAAGGATATCCATAGACATAGAGTGATGTATGCACAAGATGTTGTCCATGAAAGCATTAGGTTACCTTGTCCCTTGTCTTACCCACAAGAGGGTTTGTGACTCCTTGGACTAGTGCAAGATATGGAAGTTGTTTGCACTTGTCCTTGCAAAAATGATAAGAGTGAAGTATGTTGGCAGAGTCACCCTCAAGAACTATCTATACTCACCATTTTCATCACAATTTTACCACGGGTTTGATTTGCTGGCGCATTTCAGGTCTCGTGTGCTATATGTAAGACATTTTTTGGCATTTACCGTGCATGTTGGCATTGAAAGGACCACGATGTTGCCTAGAGGGGGGTGAATAGGCGTTTTAAAATCTTCTACGGATTTGGCTATATCCTAATGCGAAAATAAACTAAGCGAATACTTTTCAAGCACAAATCCTAAATATACTAGGCTCACTAAATGCACCAACAACACAGGATAAAGAAGACGAGAACAACGAGGATATGAATAAGCACAAGTAAGTTACACAAACTTACTCAATGTATATCACGAGATATGAAAATGAATAATACACACAACCACAAGTAAGCAATACAAGCTTACACAAATTGTATCACAATATATGGAATTGAATGATACAACCAAACTCAAGTAAGTACTACAAGCTTACACAAGTTATGTCACAAGATATGGAAATGAATGTTACAAAGCTAGCAATTCACACTGAGCACAAGATAGAACAATAGTAGGAAGTATGAATTGCGGACTATAAAGTGTTGGCCTAAATAATCTCTTCAAGGGAATAGCCAACACACTACAATGAGAACAACAAGATATATTGTATGCAAGGTCAAGAGACTAAAGTAAACCACAAGTAAGGAGTTAGGGTTAGGGATAACCAAAGTCACGGAGACGAGGATGTATCCCGATGTTCACTTCCTTGGAGGGAAGCTAGTCACCGTTGGAGGGATGGGTGTTACCACGAAGGCACACCAACACCACGAAGGCTCACCCTATTCTCCTTGAGATATCACCACGAAGGCGATTCCCAACCACTAGTGGTAGACCTTGAGGCGGCCTCCAAACCTTCACAAACTTTCCGGGGGACAAATCACAAGTTGATTCCTCACAGGAGCACTCCTACCGCCTAGGAGTCTCCAACCTCCAAGAGTAACAAGATCAAGGGGGAAATGCTCAAGACTTGCTCAAATCACGAATTGCTTTGGTCACAAGAGGGAGAGGGAGAGAATCTATCTTTTGATTGGAACAACTCTCAAGAACACTCACTAATCTCTCCGGGATCTAAGATTTTGTGTAGGAGAAGTGAGAGGGAGCCACTTGTGTTCTTGGGGCGATTTTGGATGGAGTGGTCAACCCTCTCCTGGAGTGGGAGAGGGATATTTATACCCCCAAGAAAATAGAGCCGTTTCCCGCAGTTGTTGACCTGCCCGGATGATCTGGACGCATACTCGGATGATCCGGGCAATGCCCGGATGATCCGGGAAGGTCAATATACAATGTGGTGAAGTAGATACCCGGATGTCCGGGGACGCAGCCGGATGATCCGGGCAATTCCCGGATGATCTGGATGGGTAGCCGAATGATCCGGCTAGTAGAATAAGTTCATGTGATGATTTTGTCGAGAAACCCGGATGATCCGGGCAACAAAAAAAACAGTAGAAGACCCGAAACTAAAACATGCATAACTTTTACATCCGGACTCTGATTTTGATGATCTTGGGCTCGTTTTGAAGCTATGGAAAAAGCCCAGGTCCTCACATAGATAACCACCCAAGATCAACAAAATTGGAGGATGCAAATTATGCAAAGGTTTTATCATGTATTTGGGTGACCTATTTGGCTTTGGATTTTCTTTGGTAGATGTAGAGGCATTTTGTATTTGTATTGGATAGGAACGAAATATGGCTATGTTGGAATATGATGTGAGGAAGTAGAAATAGAAGATGCTGACTTGAGCAAATCTATCATTAATCCCTTTGATCCCCTCTTAATAGTGCGGGATCCCTATAACTCAAGAATCATAAAAGAACTTTCTCCTAGTTTATGTCAACCAATATATGCAATGACATTCAAAGTTCATTCACACATGCATATATTGTGGGGGAGTTTGCTCTATATACTATGGGTGTACTATCATCAAATGCTTGTGTAGTGTCTTGATGATAGTACAACCATCCCAAGTATACAATTTATCCTCAGATACATTACGGAGGTGTTTGGCAACAAAAATGGTAACGTAATCAGATCGCAGCGTTTTTAAGGAGGTGTAACGAGTTATTTCTCAATTTGTTTGGTTTTGTCTAAGCACGCCGACGGCTGGCGAGCTGTGGTTGTCGATGCTCTTTTTTTTCTTGCACGCTTTGAGCGGCTGCGGGAACAGAAAAGGGGTCCCGATACAGCTGATTTGGGGCGTAATCTGATTACAGCCGTGGTGAAACAAAGACGATTTAACGGCAACTGATCCCGCTGTAATCAGATTACGTTACAATGTCGGTGATACCTCCTTAATGTAATTAGAACGGCAAAAACATCTTACATTAAAGTTATAGAGACAGTACGCCTTGTCGGCCGTTCTTCTGTTTTAGAGCTTCTTCGAACTGATTGTAACAACATTATTCGTATTCAATAGACCTCTCTTCGTCACAAAAACAAATTACACGGCTACGCAAACTTGACACCTAGTTTAGATGAAGGGGGAAATATCACATGCTTCCGAGGCTAGGTGATACCGTGATACAGGACAAAGTTCACACTCAATCCCTACAACTGCACAATTGACTTTTCCCCAAAATATCTACAGCCACTTCTTGCAAAACAAAAGGAAAAAAAAAGGAAAAAATACCCTTGGTCTAGGGGCACCACACTGAAAATATATAATTTGAAAATGTGGAAAAGATCAAACAGTTCTGAAACTACTTTATAACAAACATGGTCTATGTTATATTGACGTGTAAAGTTTCACAAAGAAATGACTTCCATGGTCTTCTATGCACTAAAAGAATGAAATCAGTTCCATGTAAAAAAATGAAGTTTTTGAAGTTGCAATTTTACTTTCTCCGCCAAGACCATGGAAGCCATTTCTTCACAGAAACTTCAACTCACCATTTTCACCACAACAAAGTTTCGGTATTGTTTGGTTTTTCTTATATTTTTTAGCTGGTGTGCCTAGTACCATATCCCAAAAAGCAACAGCCGCTTTAGCCATAACTTTGGCCGCATAAATCGCTAGCAGTAACTTTATTCCCACAAATGTGCTACCAAATAGCTCAACAAACCTTCTTCAGTCCATTCCCAACGTATGTGCCTAACATTTGTAGATGGTACTAGCAAAACGATGGGGTCATGACATCTGGTACTGTAGACAGGAGAATTGAAGAGAAAATTTTTAATCCACTAGAGCCTCCAGGGAAGTAGGATGTAGTGTAGTAAGCAAGAGCGAGGACCTGGAACAAAAGCAAGAGGGTCAGTTCTTAAACAGGAGGCTTCAGTGCGCCACAAACTATATCCAGAGCAAGTGCACACTGAGTTGTTCCCAGAGTTAGAAAAGCATCCTAGATTATGGATAAGGAAATCATTATGCCCCTGAATACACAAGGGGAGAAAACATTATAGTACTGGTCATTAAATCATAGTCCTGATTAAGCTTGTTATAGATGTGGAGAAAAATGAAATGGTGCTAGAATGAAGACAAGTCAAAGGGGGGGAAAGGGATACACCTGAAGGATCAAGAATATCACCGGCAGAAAATAGTCGTGATTCGTGAAGCACCATAGGGACATAAACTGTAGCAACATGAACCGACTGTAAATGGTAGCCTCTGAAACATAGAAATATGCAAATTTTTCACATCAGAAACCCCATGCATTTGAAAATTATGTAGCATGAAGATATTTCATTGCATCCTATTTACGAATCTGAGCAAATGCAGGCGCAATTTACTGCTTAGTATCAATACCTTGCCCCACGCCTATGTGCCTAAATGGTGTTTTAGATTTATCATTTGGGAATAGGAAAAGGTTGTAAATTTGTATTCTGGGCAAAATCCACTGAATAAATAATAAACGTTCATTGTTGCATTGGAGAAATAAGAATCACAAATTTCATGCATCAACAGAAACCAACTCCGCACACCAGCAGTTGCACTCAAAACAAAACCTATATACCTAAGAGTCATCCCCACTAACTTACTTATCTCAACATGCAAGCACGCCACCTCGCTATACCATACAATTATTAGTGGAATAAGCCCCACCACAACATGCAATCATGCATGGGAAAAGAACACCACAACATTCAACCATGCATGGGAAAATATTTTCTCAACTATACATAATCAAATATTATAGGTCATATGTATTATTTATTTTGGCTCTCATGTTATCAACCAAAAATTATATCAACCATTTCCCGCAGCAGAGCGCAGTCTAGTTCTACTAATCCACGTGCCTCCCCATGACTTTGACGAGAAAAAGGAAAATGTTTTAAGCCATATACAGGAATCAGGACACTACAACAGATTCCACACATCATTTGTATTACTTTCATGTATATCCAGAAAATGCAGCTTTTAAACTTCAGTATCTCTTACAACGGATTAGGTTTTCTGTATGTCATTAGCCAACACGAAGCTTCCAGACAAGGCCCTTGATTGATTATGACTGATCAGTACCAACAGCCTTTCTATAATCCAACAGTATTGGATTAAGCTCAGAAATCATTTTAGATAGAAGACATCCAGACCAGAATAACTGCAGAAGCTAGAAGCGCAGAAATCTAGAGTGAACTCAGGTATCTTCTCACATTGAGACAAATATTTTGTTTGTTGCCAGGTGGAAAAATAAAAGCAAGACTCCTTATGTTGCCCCTGGTATTAGGAGAACCCACATCCAAGAGGTGAGCTCACTGGAAATATCAAAGTCCATATTGCTATCACAAAGTTGCCAACTTCCACTACTCTACTTCTTTTGGCCAGATCAAGATACTTCAAACAAATACTTCATTGTCCTAAATGTTCTTATTTTCTCTTTTGAATCTCAAGTTTCGGATTCTTGCATTCATGAATTGCAGAAGACCAGGTTTGATGGCACTGAAATAAATATTTTACAAAGACTTCAAAGAGCATTTTCAGGTTGTGTACAAATGAAAACGATATGTAGGTTCAAAGACATTTTCCTTGAGACAATTCTTGAGTTAGAAACATCCTTAAGGTCTATATTTAACCTTCAAGAGCTGAACCAAAAGCAATAGCTTCAAGAGCTCAACAAGATAACTAGATTGGCTCCAGGTGAAAGGCAATTTAATTCAAAAATAAGCAATACTGTGTTTGAATAGGTTGACTGAAGGGAAGGCCTACTTGATCATGACGGTCACAACTCAGTGATAGCTTACCAATTGCATACTTCATTCTGGCATGGTGGCAAGTAGAGACTTCTAAATCTATGGACAAAATGTTGTGCCAAACCCAGGACCGGATAGTAGTTGCTACACAGTTTTCAGTGAAATCTGCATGCAGGGTCTAGTGCATCTGTTTGTGTAGGACTAATTTTACAAACATGATTCCGCATACAAACAGACCGCTGCATAATGATGCTTAGTTACCTTACTAGTTAACTTCATCACCGTCACAGGTGAGTACCAAATACACTGAATAACTACAGATCTCAGATCAATTGTAATGCCAAACCGTATGCCTCTAACTATACATATATTATTTACAGGACTTCAGAAAGAACAAGTATATTCCAGATTACACTCTCTAGGTAAACTGGTAAAGGTATAAATATTGTATTGAAAAGACATCATTTCATTAATACAAGAATTGCTGTTATACAGTGACAGATGTGTTAGTCCTTAACACTCATTCATTAAGAATGGCAAGCATTAGAATTTCTTAACTTCAATGCTTATATTTTAGTTCAGATACATACCTTAAGGCTAGGCCAATCCCAAATATACAAGAGCAGGCTTTCCTGCCACATCATAAACAGCTTCTTGCAACTTGGGAAGTAGCATGAGGTAAAAAACCATAATGATGGTTTCAAACTGATCTGGATCGACTTTGGTTTTCCTTTGGGATCGGTGTGCAGTTCCATTTCTCACAAAATCAAGCAATAACTCCACCAGCTTAAGCTTCTGTTCGCGTTCAGTCCACGGAGTTGTTGGATTATTATGCTCATCCGTCGGGCGCTTCAGGTCATAGCTACCCGGAATGAAGTCAAAAGTTTCCTTAAGTACATTGTTCTGCGGCACCTTGCTCTTCCATTGGAGCACCCATGGCAATTGAAGCAACTTCTCGAGTATGAGCTCCTTCTGAAAAGTGCCCACTTTGTATTTGACATACTCATAGAGTCGAGTATATCGATCTGATCTTTGATGGCGAAGTAAGAGTGCTGGGCTTATTTGGTAGAGAAGATCTTTTTGTTGTGTACTCATCAAATTAATCAAATCCTGCATATCTTCAGGAATTTGATACCCATCAAAATAACCTCTGATGACATTAACAATGCAAGTATACATTTGTCTTCGAGCTTGATAAATCTTTTCAATGATTTTCACATGTCGGAACTTGGCCTCTCCTTTATTTGTCACGACGACATTATTAGCATCAAAGTTGTCTAAGCACTTATCTTGATCCAGAATTCCCTGCGCTCTGTGTATCAGAGAAGAGATAAACAACCGTGTTGCATCAGTAGCGAACCAATAAGTGGAGGTTGCCCTAATTGCCTCCCCAATCAGTTCATAGGACTTATTCTGGCGAGAGATCCTGGATGATACTTTAACCAGCACTTCATTTTTAAGTCGATACTGTTGGACTGACAAAACTGTACCAGAAACATCCACACCCATGCCCTCATCAACATAACGCTCATAGGCGTACCAGTCATGGGCTGCATAGAAACTAAAAAGCGACAAAAATCAAATGAGACCAATGGGCCGCATGGAAATTAATAAGCAACAAAAACATGTAAGCCCGACATTATCTAAACATAGACAAAATATCCTCTAGCAAAATAGAATACCTTCAGTATGATGGTCAGCAAGAAGATTGAACGCCATTTCAGAAGGTATCCGACAATCTCTCTGGCAAACAAAGTACAAGAGTTAGTGTGGTAATGGCATAGAACCTATGGATAGAAAACGATGCTGAGTAGTAAAGGATAATCTAAAAAGATGAAGGAGGGTCCCGGAAGGAAGACCAGGCCATATTCAGTTACTAGTGCTAGTTGCAAGTTTAAGACTATAATATTAGCTTCCTTCAAGTGGAACGGTACAGCATAACTCACACTAGCGCAATTAGAATACTAGTACTAGTTGCATGCCTCCAAAGACCCAGCTACTGCCTGGAATTGGACTGCAATACTAACTGACGGTTGCTATTGCAGTTACAGCACCCATGATAGCGCAATCACAACAGTACGTATACAGCTACTCATGACAACAGTACATATACAGCTACTCATGATGTGTATGCCTCGGAAACTATGCTCAGGTTAACGGCAGGATATACATCAAGAAAAAATGGTGATTCATTGTGAAATCCCACCCCTATTAACACCCAAATCGAGCTACCTGCCTACCCGTTGGATTTTCCAAATCACGGCAATCAAACCCGTAGGTGGCATCAGTCCAGCGAGATGGCGTAAAGACAGAAACCACGGCGTAAAAAAGGTTAACGGATTGGGACTGACCTCGAAGATCTTCCGGAGGCCGTAGATCTTGCGCGCCCAAGAGTACCCCGAGTGGGGGTGGGGGTGGGGGTAGGGGGGAGAGAGAGCTCGCCGTCAAGCGTCGGCTGATAGCGTTTCGCGTCTTGCGTTGGGGAAGATGGGGGCGACTCGCCGTCAAGCGCCGCCGTCGGTTGCTTAGGGTTTTACGGCTTGCGCCGGCGTTGGTGGCTAGGGTTTTACGGCTTGCGTCGGGGAAAAGGCAAGGAAAGGCACACTTTTCTCTTTGTTATATTGCCGCTCACGCCCGCCCACGAATTTGGGTTCGGCCCTCCACCATATAGCTCGCCAAACAGGCGTGCTAACTGGGCCGGCCCGGTAGCACGTAAGAACGGCACGGCCCGGGCTAAACGGGCCAGGCCCGGCATGCGGCACGCCATGGGCCATGCTTGGGCCTGGAAGCTGGGCATGCGGGCCGGCACGGCATATGGCCCGTTTAATTTAAAAAAAAA